GTTAGGGGAGGGATCCTGTGTGCAAGTGTGTGTGTGTGTGCTGCATGGCAGTTAATACAGCACTTATTGCTTCCAGGAACCCCAACAGCAAAATGTTTCCTGCACTTCGACTTTGATGAAAAACAAATTTGTTATTTCCATTTTGGTGTTTTGGTGTTTGTTATAGAAGAAATACTAAGCCTGTATTATTTCAGCACTATCTATTCTCTCGGTTTCAGCACAGACAAAAATATTTCAGCACTAAAGATAAATATTTTATATTTTAAAATACATTAAAATATTAATTTGATGAATATTCAATACCTATTTATTTGCATAACCAAAGGAGAGACAATGGATTCAGACAAGATAAGGTGCTTGCTTCTGCAAAACAGAAACTTTTCAAATCATTTTTTCTCTCTTTTTGCTTGGTGTGCTTTATTTAGCCAGCAGAATTTTTTTCTTGAAAAGATCTGGGTTTTAATAGGAAGCCATATTTCACTGAAAATGAGTGACAAAGCTAGCATTCCCACAAATGACTGCCAATATATTATTTTTGTTTATGTGATCTTTCCAAAATAACCCAGCTCCCCTTTTTCTGTCACTGTGCATATATTCTTCAGCAAAGTGCTTCAGAATGCTGCAAAATTAAAGCAGTTTTAGGACTCCTGACGATGCCAAAAAGCAAACAAGAACCCAAAAAGTATCCTTGGCATATAATTTAATTAAGGAATATCATGAATAAATATACATGAAGCAGAGCTAAAATCTATCTCATTAGAAAAGGAAAAGATGTCAAAATGTATATCAATGGAGTTTATAACCTCCTGAAAGCAGATAGCCTGTCTTTTTTTTTTTTTTTTTAATTTGGAAAGAACTTAATACATTTTCCTCGCTACCAAAGGGTAAACAATAGTGTGCACAGAAAGAAAGGCAGGTAATATGTCAGCTCTTGCAGCATGTACATCACCTAGTGGACATGCTTTGCATACTAAAGGGTGGGGATCTGTCCTGCTCATGCATATTTTCTGCTCACGTTATCAAGTGCTAGTCCTGGAGTGCGTTTTCCACACACGTGGAGCTGCAAAGCACACCCAGCAACTTGTGGCTCACCTGTCCCAGCCCTTGCCAAGCCCCAGAGAGGGGGCAGCATTTCTGCAACACACCACTTCTTTATGTCTTTGCTCCTTTTCTCTGCAGGGGTCAAAGCAGGATTTAGCCTGCACTCCCAAATAAACTGAAAATGATTTTATGAAGAAAGTGTATGCACCATTGGTGTAATCCTGCAGCAGACTCCATCCCGCTGCAATCCTCTGCAGTGCACAACCTACAAAATGTGTGCAAACAGACCGAGGGGAAAATGAAGCGTAGCCCACGCGAGTATGTAAAATATACTTGCAAATTAGAGGGAAAATTGGAAAGATATGGTTAAGGCAAAGGTTTGTGAGTTAAAGCTGTCAATGATCCAGCTTAGCATTCTATCTGACTGTTTAGTTTTACATGAGTATTTACTGCGTCACTCCATCCAAATGAGAGCTTCTCCAGTGAATGCTGTGGTAGGTACCTACAGCCCTGATCCGGACGCCAAGGCCTAATCCAGCTTCAGCAGAAGCAAACAGCGAGATTCTGTGCACTTCATGGATTGTAAAAGCAAGCTTTTTGGAAGTGGAAGGCACATATATAGAGAAACATCCCTGAACAAACAAAGGATGGACCTAAAGTCTGCAGTTTGACTGGGAAAGTGTTTGAGGATCATGAGCTCTGGATGGGAACATGTGACAATATGTAACACTCTGAGCTGCAAGGCAGTGACAATTAAGAGGGACATACTTGTCTCTATTTTTAAACAGCAATGAGGTGAGTTGATATTTAAGTTCTCTTCCAAGAATTTCAGTGCAGATGACTGCCCATAGTATAATTATTCACAGTAAAGACTGAGCCATGTTTCAGCTCTGAACATTTGATCGGTCTCTGTACAATCAAAATATAGTCAGATTTGGACAGCCTAGCAGGATATTTCTGACTTCCATGTGCAACTATACTTTAACCAGCCTTTCTCTCACACAATGTCACACAGTGATACACAGTGTAAATCCTTCATATGTCAAATCAGACATGGCATCTACAGTCTGCAGGAAAAATCTGCAGGGTGTAAAGTTACCAAGTTTTTGTGAGGTCTACTGTGAGGCTGCATTTTTGTTTTTTCCTTCCTGAAACATGAATTCATCTTCTGAAAAACGTGTTTATTTTTCCTTTTTCACACAAAACCCACATCTACTTTCTCTAGGAAATAAATAGAGAAAAGAAAAAGGTGTGGATAAGAGAAGTTTGCAATAAGCCAGGCTTCAATCATCAGCTTTGCAATACAATGATAAGACTCAATGGTTACAATCTTTTGTTATATAGAAATCATGTCAATTCTCCCAGCATGTCTAAGAAAATATAGTCACCATAAAGTAGTTGGCATTTAACACTCTTGACTACACTCCATTATCTGAGAAGGTTTTGTCCTTACTGGGAACAGTGGGAAATGTCATATAAGATGAGCTAGGGCTTGGAGTTTAATAGGTGATTTCTGTATTTTTCTCATTAGGAAATGAGACCACAGAAGTCTATAAACTTCATAGATATTAAATTGCTAACAGTTCAGACTAGATTTTCCAGACTTTCCAAATCTAAGCTGATGCTTGTCCACTAATTTGAACAGTAATGCCTAGAAAGTTGATTGATCTTCAGGAGTGAATGTACAGACTAAAGAGGAAGCAGTGTAGGGGTTTTTTTAAAGCTGTAAACTGAGAATTAGGAGTCAGTGTTCAGTCTGTGACACTTCATCAAAACGTGATCTGAGACCACTGGCAAACCTCTTTTTTTTTTTTACCTTACACATAGAACAATTGGAATGAAAGTATCATGCCACAAAGATTTTCAAACTGAAGTTTCTAATCTGCTGAAGACAAAAGCAGGCTTGTAAAATTTGCTATCTTTAGATTATTTTTAAATATCTGAAGGTACTTTAAAAAAGGTTCTCCCATAATTTTGGCTTAGAAATAGACCTCTGTAAAACAGATAGTTTTTAAATTAGAAATCAATGCCAGACTTGTGGCTGCTCACCATCTTTGTAAATTGAAATCACAGTAGACCAAAACATGTCCTGATTTATGATCTGTAAAGCTGAATTTATTCCAATGTAAATTTGACCATGTATTACAAGATACTGACCAGTTCATTAAAGCTCTATATCTTGAAATGTTTGCAGAAAAGGTACCTTTGTCCAGATAATAAAATACATTTAAGACATATTTTCAAAATCAACCAAAATTTCAAAGCCAGCAAGAGAGGCAATACTGTTATAAATATGCAGCTAAATATACATAAAAATGCTTCTTCCCTCCTTTTGGAAATGTGTATGCCTTTATAATAAACACACAGAATGCTACTTTGCATTCAATAGGTCTATTTATGTGTTTAAAATTAAGTATTTGTAAATTTGCAAGATCAGGCCTATAGTGTATGTGTGTGTGCGTGCGTGTGTGTACGTGTATGTACAGGAATAAAGAAGGTAGCTTGATTAGAAGTTCTATTCCATGCTCACTCTTTTACTTAACATCTGACATTGGAAAAAATGAAGCTAAATGTTCCAGCATTTCTGACAGTTCCAATCCATTATCTGTAATCTGAAAAAAAAAATGCACTTTTTTACTCTGAAGCAAATGTAAGTTTTTTTCTTTTTTTCTTTTTTTCTTTTTTTTTTTTTTTTGTGGAGACGCCTTCTTTATATAGTGACAACATGATAGCAGAGATACCAGTTTGCTGTAGATTGAGTGACTGACAATAATACTCTCTGCAACACGTAGAAGGGAATAACTGATGAATCGGAAAATATATGGATGCCTACCGAAATGATTATGTAATGAAACACGAAGTCAAACGGTGGCATGCTTCTATTAATTGTAGATGATAGTAATTAATTTTCACTGCAGTTGTGATCATGTCGCTGCTTTCAGAAGAATCCAGAATCCCCTTCCAGGAAAGTGTGAAATTGCATCTGGGTTCTTCAAGCCATGAAAGAATATAAATTTCTTTTAAAATAAGAGAGGGAGGCCTTCCTCGATGCTGTACTTTAGAAAGAGGAAAAAACAAAGGGAAAAAGAAAATGATAATTGTTTTCTCTAAGGCTATTATCTAATGCAAAAGCAAACAGTCTGACTGGAAATCAGCTAACAGAAGGGGATTAGAGAGTAGATCTGAGAGTGGCTTGATTTCTAGCACTGCTGTCTCTTCACACAGTGATGAGACACAGGCAGAGCAGCCAGGAGCTCTCCAGATGGCTAGAGAAAGTGTTTGTCTTGGGTTACTGCAGGGCAGTCTGGACTCTTAAAGCCGGGGAGGCATCATTAGGGAGCAAGTTAGATGTCCACCCAGTAAAAGCGAGCGAAAGAAAGAAAGAGTAGGCAGGCTGCCCGAGAGGGACCACGCTCGCCTATTGTTAACATATACTTGACCCCCACTAACCTCTTCACGACACAGATGTCTCCTACCTCTATCACCTCCCACTGCTTTAAGCCCTCCCCCCCTGCACCTGGGTAGCGGGGCCGGCCCGGCTGCCGGCAGTATGCTGCCTGCCTCGCGCGCTGCCTGCTAGCGGAGCCGGGCGCAGCGGAGCGGCGGCGCAGCCTCGGGCGGGCTCGGCTCGGCTCGGCTCGGCTCGGCTCGGCACCGCACCCCGGCTCGGCTCGGGCTCGCCGCGGGCTCAGCTATGCGTCGGCTGCTCGGGGACAGGCAGAGACCCCGCCACTGACAGCGGCCGCTCCCTGCGCTCCACATCACGTTTGTCTGAGGCGGCGGCGGCAGCAGCAGCAGCAGCAGCAAGGAGAAGGACCTGGGCATTAACTATCTCGACTTGGAGACTTTGCTTTATTTTTGGTTCTTGTCCTTTCCCGTGGAACCAGTAGTCTCTCTCGAGCTGATCCTCCTTTAAAAAAAAAAAAAAAAAAAAGAGCGAGAGAGGGTGGTGGGGGGGGAAGAGCAGCTGGAGTTTCTCCTCAGCTCGTTTTGACTTTTGTGGACGTGGATCATCTGGACTGGGAAGGGAAGCCGCGCGGCGCTGCTCTCCCCTTTCCCACCCCCTCGCCCCTCCAGCAGCCTGGGCTGCCGTCTCTCCCCCGAGCAGGACGGGAACTTTTATTTGCAGCTCGCAGCCCGTGGCGAATGGTGGGCATCTCCGGTCCTCTGCAGTGTGAGTACGGGCGCGGGCAGGGCTGGGCAGGGCGCGCCGGGGCGGGGGGAGCCCGAGCCCCTTTTCTTTCCCTTTCTCCTCTCCCGCAGGGCTCCCCGGGCTCTGAGGGGCTCCCGTGGCTGTAACTAACCCAGGCGGACCGGGGCTGCTGCTGTGCCGGGCCAGGTTAGCGCTGCATGCAGCCTTACACGCTCTGTCCCCGGCTTACAAACTAGCACCCCGGATACCGCTCAAAAGCTCAGAAACCAAATAACCCAGTTTCGGCAGAAAATAACCCTCCCTGGCATATATTATAACAAAGCGTCAGATTTCTGTCTGCGTTTAGGACATGCCTTTTTCTTTCCTGCCTCCTCTCTCTCCAGGCTCTAGCGCTGGCCAATGTGAGTTGGAGTAGCTGTAATATTTCTGAAGGGATTGTTTTGTTTCGCTTGTTGTTTCACTGCAATCATAGATTTGTGCAGCACTGAGAACATCTTTTCGGACCATTTTGAAAGAAATATTTTAGGCGGTGCACGTCTCCTTTAGCTGTACCACGGCCATGCAAATAGCTTGTTCCCTAAAACGACAGGATAACGTTAGGGATTGCATTTCCAAAACTGCCTTACAATGTAACTGTGTCATCTCCTCTGGCTGTGCTGAAGGGTTCGATTCCATACATTTGCAACAGACCATTGATAAGGGAGATTGGAAGGATGAAAAACATATTCCTGGCCATTTAGACAAGCCTTTGACTTCTGCGGAGTTCGAGTCCTTTTGTTAGTGCCAAAGTTGAGAAATTTGGTTTAGTGCAGGGAAGGATTTTGCCACCCTAGCAGGATCACTCGTGACTCCGTTTCAGAGTTAATTTATAGCGAACTAGCTGTCGTTCTTGTACTCCGCTCCCCTAGATATTAGAGAGAAACCGAAAGTAACTAATCGGACGCAGCTCTTAAATCGTTCTTGCTCCAACCAGGAGCTAAAATGTTGCTTCCTTCAGTTCACTGATAAGTTTAAAGGAGGGTACGGGGAGTCGAAGCAGCCTCCCCCTCCTGCCCCCCAGGTTGCAGCCGGAGCCGGGCGCGGCGGGACCGCCCTGCCCGACCGCAGCCGGGGCTCTCCGGCATCGCCGCTCTGGGAACAGATGCCTCGGAGCCGCTCGGGTTTCTTTGGGGAAGCAGCCCTCCATCTTCCGATCCATAGCAGGCTCTGCCCGCCACCCCCTCCTGCCTCTGCCGTGCCCTAAATCACGGCACGGACAGGATCCGTCTCTCGCAGCCGCCCGGCCGTGACGCCCGGGAGCCGGCAGCTCCCGCCCCGCAGACAGCTCGGGAGCGGGCTGCGATCTGCTGAGTCCGCGGCAGCAAGCCTGACCGAAAGAGCTGCCCAAGTTTTCCACTGACAATCGCAGGCGGGCGGGAAGCGCCTGCCTTCGCTTGCCAGGGCGGCCCCAAGGTGCGCTGTGCACGGCTGCGCGCCCGCCTGTGCGGGCAACGCTGAGCGCGGTGAGGGCACGGCGCGGCAAGGGCTGGCCAAGAACGGGTACGTGCCTCTTAAATCAGCCCGCAGGAACTGCCCGCTGTCTCTGGGAAAGCAGCAAGTGCCAAACGCTTGGCTACTGGCGTAGCCCTGGCTAACTAGAAGAATGTCTTGTGAGTCTTGGTATGTACAGCCAAGCGTTTGCTCCAGCAAGTACTCCTGTGCTTAATGTAACGCTGACCCCTTTAACTTTTAACATCGCTTCTCCTAATTAATCTGTTCAGGCCCCAGACTTAAATGGCTGTCCACAGCTGCTGCAAATTGATTTATCCCCTGATGGTGGTCCGAGTTGCTGACCAAAGCAGGATTTTTTTTCCCTTCCCCATTTTTGGTCTACTAATCTGTTTTGACTTATTTCCTACTTACAGTAATGCTTGCATGCTTTTTGAAGGACTTAGAAAATATCTTCCATTGACATGTAACTAGAAACATAATTATTGTATTTGTAAACACAATATGTTAGGGCTAAGGGTGAGTATAATTTATTTAACTACACCCTTGAAGCCTCACATTTCCGTCTCAGTTTCTGCATCCTGACAGATGCAATGGAAAGTTTAAATACGCAACTTTGTTAACTGCAGTTTCAGGCAAGATGTGAAAGATGTTTTTAGAGCTGAATTCTATTGTCCAGGTTTTCTGTTCAGCTTTTCTGTTAACGGCTTAGTGAATCTGGATAGCAGAGAGGATTGAAACTGGTTTCTAATGGTTGTTAAAGCTGATGCTTGACCTTTCCATGGGAAGTCTGAAAACCTCATTCAGTTTATTCTGGGCTTATTTCCTTAGGAAATTCAATATGATCAGGGAATTTCCTTCAGCTCAGCTGAATGGTAAAAAAAGTTACTCTATCTTGTTTATGCATTCTGGTTTTAGCACTAGGTGTTTCTGTGGCTCCCCTTCAATAGGGAGATAATAGGAAAAGACATAAGTATGGCTCATTCATAACTGTACAGTCTGTGAAAATATGAAATTGGCAAAGGCTTTGCTAGGTGCGAGATTCACTGCAGATTTGCTGTAAAGGTTTTCAATTAGGAACTTACAATAACTATGTTTGATAATTGATAACTTTCTTAAGGTCAGTTTCACCATACCTGAACCTCCAGTAAAATTGCTACTATTTTCAATTAATGAGTAATTTTCCTTTGCTGTCATGAGAAGCTCAATCGTGTATCAGTGCAAGAAAACACCAAACTCCACCAAAAATCCAAGAGAGTCTTGAATCCATTCATGCCTCTGGCAAGCTGGAGCCAGGCAAGGGGTACAAGAGATGATAGCAGGACTTCTTTCTGTCCTGTGCTTGCAGAAGGGTGAGCGGCTGGGTTCTTGAGCCATGAGCATGCTGCAGGGAGACAAGAACCATTCTGTTTGTAATGGAATGCAGACAGCAGTGTTAGGTCACTGCTTCCTGGCAACTGCTGCACAAGTTGTTTTTCTTCAAAGGCTTTGAGCTTTTAAATAGTTTCCAAAATCTTTTTAAGTAAAACACTGCCTTCTACCATTTTTGACCACCTTAACATTAACTTGTTTCATGACTAAATAATGGACCAGTGAAACATCACACGGTATCTCTCATCTGTGTACGCTTAACACTATGTATGCCTGTGTGCACATGGAGTTTTATACTGGGAGTATTGTTTTTGGAATAATGGGGGAGAAAAATAGCTCCACCTGGAGTGCTGGTCAGTGGATAGTCAGTTCAGGACATTCTTCCCTGTCAAATCCTGTTTCTCACTTCTCTGAAACGAACTTCAGACGACAGGCGTTGAATGTGAAGCTCGCCTCACTAAGGTACTGTGCAGACTGCAAACTCCTCACTGCCAGACGCTTTGGGTGAAATAGGCATCTGCAGTGTTTGCATTGGGGATGATGGGAGAAAGGGCTTGCAATTGTAATTTTCAACTTTCAAATCCACTTGCCACAGTCCATTACTGTTAAATCTTTAGCTAATTGAATAAGGATATCAGTATGTTGTTATTGCAGGAGCTTCAGACTTTTTAGATTGAGGGGTGGAGGAGAAGGTCTTGTTCTTTGTTCTGTAGAAACTTAAGTTGTCATGCAGAGATCAAGAAGACTTAATAGCTGAAATGAAACATGAATTTGGTGTTCTGAAGGGGCCATTTCTCATGGCTTGGCTAAAGAAATGTGAAAAGGAATTGTTTTAATCTACATAAAAAAACCTTGATCCATGTAGTTAGTAGCAGCCTGCTCTTTTTCATACAGCCTTTAAAACAACCTATAACATTTAAAAAGTTGACACTGAATTTAGTATAAGTAATGAGAATGTAAATCTTTAAAATATTGGCTTCCAGGTTACATTGTCTTCATGATGTTTCACATCAGAGATCTAAAACAGTTGGTTTAAAAACTGAACTTTTAGGGCCATGGGTCTTGATTTCCCGTATAGATGTTCCTTTTTAAAGACCTGCTTTTAAAATGCAGTTATCCTATTCGTACTATAAACTTTATTAGTTTAATATATGGTAGCAGAGGAACATACATACATCAGGAAGTAGCAGACTGTGTGGTTTTGTGGAAAAAGAAAAATGAACAGCAGACATAAAATCAAAGTCTGTTCTATCCTGTTCTTTAAAAGCTTTTTTTTATTTCCCCCCCTCCAAATTTTCATCTGCAAGACACTGACTTCCATCTTCATTTTTTTCTGCCATTGATATGAAAGTTTCCAAATAACGTTTAGACAACAGTGGACGTTTTATTAAAGTAAACATTAGTTCAGTATAATGGAGGTAATTGTAAGTGATAAGAGCAGAGCAGGTTATCTGTGTGTTGTTTAAACAGAAGGAGCTATTTTGCACCATTTCCAGTAGCCATCTGTAGAGGAGAAGGGTTTGCACCTGTCTGTCCACACTAATTATAGATTAGGTCCAAAGAAATGAAATTCGAGTAGCCTTTCTCTTAATGAAATCCATGGTGATTTTATTGTAAATGTGTTTTGTGTACAGACGGTGATGGTTTGTCTGTGAGTAAAATAAATTGCTGTATGGCTGTTATATACTTGTAGTTGTAAAGCAGGATACTGCTGCATTAACAAAGGTCCTGAATAAAAATGCACTGCTCCATTTAAGTCCTAGGCTTCAGTGATGTCTCTAGCTAGGCTTAATCAAAAAGGTTCACTGTAGGCACAGTTATTTAGGGGTATGTTTCAGGGTAGACTTTTCAGTTATCATCACTTTCATGTCAATGTACTGGCATGTAGGTGGTCCTTTGCCTGAAATATGAGGCAGAAATGGTTTCATGTTAAATATGTACACACATATATGCAGAGTGTGTCAGAAATAGTTTCCGCTGGTATAACCTACATTATTTAAAAAAAGTGGAAAGAGTGAGAAATGCATTCTGAAGTAAAAGGTCACATGAATTTCTACCACATCTGTTTATAGTAATTATGAACATAATTAACATAAGAATTACAAGTGAGGTAATGACAAGCTGAGCTATGAGATATTATGCCATAATAGTCATATGTTGGA